ACAAGTCCTCAGTCAAGACTAACATTATGAATTATCCACCAACTGCAGGAGCTTTAATGAACGAGCATGGTTTCTGACAGAAAGAGGGAAGTGAGCAGCATGTTCGGCCATGTGGCGACCTGAATGTCGTTGCTGATGATGATGATGATGATGATGATGATGATGATGATGATGATGATGGAGGAACAATAACACTGACTGAGGTGAGACAGACAGCTTTATCATGGCTGCTGGCATTTCAATTACACATCACTTACAGGGTAAATGCAATTCCTTCGACGTGTTTCTGTTTTCATGTCTCTCTCTTTCTCTCTCACAGGCATCCGTCTGTTTCAATTAGATTTGTAAATTAGATAAACAGCAAACTAATTACAGAGGTTACCGGCGATGGGATGAGTTCAGGGGGAACCAGCGTAGCTGTGTCGTCCCACGCGCCTGAATATATTTACATTAATAGAGTTCTTGCATTTGTTCGGTTGTTTATCAGTAACGTTAGTCTGTGTCACATCAATAAAGATGTGACAACACTGATTCTGACAGTACAAAGATAACAGACAAGCTGAGAGCTGCTCAAACATTCGTGAGTGCATCCTGCGTCCACGGAGACTATTTTTTACTTCATATTAAAACACAGTTTTCTGCTTATCTTTAAGCACCACTGCACATCTGAACAGCAAAAAAGGTAACATTAAGACCAATAAAATCTCAGTCAAGACTAACAAGTCAACACCTGTAAATCCCAAGTCATGTATCAAGTCAAGACCAACAAGATCCAAGTGAAGACCAACAAGTCAAGAGAGGTAAATCCTGAGTCAGACCAACAAGTCATGACTTGTAAGTCCCAAGTTAAGACCAATTAGATCCAAGTCTAGACTAACGAGTCCCAAGCCAAGACTAACAAGTCCCGATAAATACATTTACAAAAAAAAGACTCACAAGACCCAAGTGAAGAATAACAAGTGAACACCGGTAAATCCTGCGTCAAGTCCTTAGTCAAGAACAACAAATCTCAAGTCAAAACCAACAATTCCCAAGTCAACACCAGTAAATCCAGAGTCAATAATAAGTCCTAAGTCTAGACCAATAAGTCAAAACAGGTAAGTCCTGAGTAAAGTCCCAAGTCAAGATTGACACGTCTCAAGACCAACGAGTCATGACAAGTAAGTCCCAAGTCAAGGCTAACAAGACTAAACTGATGACTAACAAGTCCCAAGTCAACATCGGTAAATCCCAAGTCAACGCTGACAGTCCTATAAGGGTTTCATTTGATAAAACCAAAAGCTGCTGGATAGTCCTTTAAAGCTGAGTGTTTCAGACGACTCGTGATCTCATGATTGTAACTTGTAGTTTTCAGGGGTTATAGGTCGGATAAAATCTGTTTGATTTAAAAACCAGCAGCTCCACTTCTGAGACATTCTTACTAAAGGTATCACTAAGAAGCAAATAGAAAGCTACAGCCACTTTCTCCTTTTTCAAAGCGCTGACAAAAAACACACTTTGCAAAACGTTCCTGAGTGCTTCCGAGCTCCAAACAGCTGCTCGATCTCTGATACGGAAGAAGCTTTCCTCCCCCAGAGATCATTGCTGCTCTCACAGAAGAAAGAAAGACTCCCGGCTTCTGTCGACATCACTTTTTCATCCGCTGAGTTTTCTAACCAAACGAACTGCAGCACAAAAGTAAGAGGGGGAAAAAAAAGAAACATACACAAGAAAGCACAATGAGGCGTTTAAACGCAAATCTGGCTTTTATATCCACTCAGTGTATTTCAAGGGACTCTGACAAAACAGAGGAATACAAAGGGAGAGGAACACTGGTGTAAAAAGGTGAGAAAACAATGAGGCTCCTAACACAGCAAACACATTGCTCAACAGAGCGGAAGAATGGAATCAAATATTCATGTTCTCTGGTGAAACTGTGTTTGAACTGAGTAAAAGATGCTCTATATCCTCCACAACTCCATCCCTGCTGCACAAAAGGAAGTGAAGGCACCAAGAAACAACATCCTGATGATGTTTCAGCTGTTGTTTGAGCTTTTCCAGAATGTTTTAGAGTGACGCTAGAAGAAATCATATATGGATCTTTGAATATGCAGAAAAAAAAGAATTCGGAAGTATAACCAAGAAAGAACACTATGATACTTATACTCAAGTAAAATATCTGTGTACTTCAACTGCTGCTTGGACTACAGAATCCACAAATACACCACATTTTGTGTTAAACCACTGTGTCCGATTGCTGCACTCTGTGTCAAAAATCACGCTCGGAGTCATAACTCAGACTAATATGAACACAAAGACATATTTTGTGATTAGGCTTCTGAGGATATCATTATCACCGTCAATGATTGTACATAAATGTCTTTAACTCTGCTTCGAGATCATAGAAATAAAAGATGTCCCTTATGAATCCAGAACTTGCCAAATGTTTATGTTTTCTTGAGCATCAAAGTAATCCAGTGATAGTTGTCTGTACTTCCATGGGCTCAGTGCAAACAGGAAACGCTAACAGCTAATTTGGCATATTTTTAACGGTGCAAACTTGCAAACATTTTGAGAAATATAGGCTCAAGAAAATATGCGGCTTAAATTGCAGCCAACATCATCACTCAGAGACTCCATGGCAACGTTATACTTCCTGTTTACATCCTGCAAAACTTAGCCTCTGAGTATCCCCGAAATACAGGTCGGACAAGGAGAAAAAAATCCATCAATACTAACTTCTTTTTATGTGCACCGTCAATATTATTAGACTTTTAAGGCTGAGGACATACAACTATTGAGAACCAAATTAAACTGTTTTTCTTTCCCATACAATCTGTCTTTAAAACATGTATACAACGAGCCCAACGACGTCCTGTACATTAAAAGAGAAACCGAACATCTCAGGGTTCAAATGGAATGAAAGCAGGTTCATTTCTGAGCACCCGATCAGGTGTAGGTTTAGTCCTGATTTGTGCTAGAAGAAAGACTTGAGGGTTGTCAAAAGCATCAGTAGATTTTATGAAAATCTGTGCAGCAGTTTAAAGGATGTTTGCTCTGAAAATGGTGAACCTGCAGCATCAGACTTGAAGCAATCATCCATGAAGGTTGGATATGACAATAAACAGCGATTCTTTTGTTTTCGCTGCAGCCGATCAACCGAGAACGACACGCTGTCACCAGGATCTCAAACACCTGGATCAGGTGTTCAAAAGACAAACGTGCCTCCA